CTGCCTATTATTTGCTTACTCCTCCATTTCTGCACTGTTGATCTGCTTTGGGATACTTAGGAGACCTTGGAAGGGTTTTCTTGCCTTATTTTTCCATGATCTTTTGTGGATGTGTATCCTTTTACTTTTATTTGTTATTCTCTCCCCTCCTTTTATTTTTCTTTTTAAATTATTTTTTGGTACTTTGGTTTGAGCTCTGGTTGAATGGGGAGAGCTTGTAGCTTATATGAAGTTTTTATTAAGATATTGCCTCACTATGATGTTTTCAGCTGTATGTGACCAGACAGTATTTACCCCTAAAGTTATTTAATTTAAGTGATTTGGCCACTGTCCCTTTTCTTTGAAGAAAGAATTACTTCTGGTTATGACAGCACCAAAACATCTGATCATACATCACTTATATAAAATAGATCTTCCATTTACTCTTTCATCCCTTACCAATATTCTGTGCTGCATATGTTCAATTATTATTAGCAGATTTTCTGGTATGGGGCAGAAGAAATAGAGTGATGAGATTGAAGGATGGATGAAAGAAGAGTGTAAATCACTAAGGGGGAAGGTTGGTAGGGATGACAGTGATAGGTTAAAATATAAGATTTGAGATGGGGTCACATACTGTTGGAGTACTTTTATTTGGCTTGAAGGTTTAGTGATGAGAGTTCCAAGAAGATACTTGCGCAGTCAAGGATGAGATGTAGAAGGAGGGAAGTGTCCTATGTGACTGAGGAAAGCTATGTGTTTATCAGGCCTGCAGATAAATTTGTAATGTGGATGCCTGTGGATGCCTGTAATGTAGAAAAGAGGTATGGGAGGATGGGGGGATAGATAAGATATGGGATAGCCTAAGGAATGGGATTAAGAAGATAGAGGGTTAATTCAGGAGAAGACAGGTGTGACTGATAAAGTGCAGAATATGGCAATTTAAAAATTTGAGAGAAGTTTAAATCCTAGTGGAAAGACATAAGAAATAAGATTATAATATTGCTACAGGAGCATAAGGTGAATAACCTATAGGGAAGATGCATTTGAGCACCTAGACACCAAGTAACTCAAATCATAATAGAAAAAAGACAACAATAATAATAAAACTCTCAAAAATTTAAAACCCAGAAGATATCCAATGGCAATTCAGTTTCAATATTACAATGACAGACTATCTATGTGATTCACAATAACCTCTTTGCAGAAAGCCTCAGACTTCATACCATCCCCTTTTTGAATTAATTGCAGCATGCTTATATGCACTCACACCAGTATCACCTCCAACCTTTGCACTACAAAACTGAAGCCTATCCAATCTCAGGACTTCATTTCACCAACTTTCAGTTATGCAGGCAGTTTGACACTGATCCAGTTCTTAGGTTAGCAACTCTTTGCATCCTCCTCACCAGACATGATGGTGGAACCAGCAAGCAGGTTCACTGACAAGTAAGGAATTACTGAATCAAGGGCATGCTCAGGGATCTGAAATTGCTTTCAAACACTGGCTTGGTGATTCTGCAGGACATGGCAATGACTGGTGTGGAAGTGTTCAGCTCTTCACTGTCAGAAGCCTGCAGATTACCCAGAATGTATGCGCCCACTTGCTGGAGTCCACAACCCCTACTACTCCTCTCAGGGTGTGGTTGAGGTTCTTTATCCATCAGTGAGCACTTGTGGGAATTCTGCAAGACATAGTAGAAGTTACAGTCCCTTCTTAACCACTGGGCCAAAGAGTCCATGAGTCTGCACAATTTCCTTCTAGTCTTAGTTGAAGTTTAATTCCAGGTGACCACCCATGTTTTCAGCAGATGAGCATATGTTCTGGTGACTGTGGTGGCATACTGATGTGCAAGGTATGAGCAGAACCAACACAGCCAGTGATAAGGGCTGGCATCCAGTGGATATTCAGGACTGGTGCTAGATCATTTAGATACACTTCCTACAGTTCAGCTGACCTGTTGAACCTGCAGAGCTGGTATCAGCAAGTCTGTGTGTACTTGCCTATGACTGTGCCAACATTTTGGACAAGCAGGGTCTTCTGGCCAGTGCTAGGAGCCATGTGTACCATGTCAGTGAATAGGTGGGCAGTCTGAGCAGGCAGGCTTAAGAGCTGCATCGACTCAACTAGGGTGCTCTTCACTTATGTATCCTGTGTGGCCCGAGTCTGGTAGGGGGAGGGGCTCCCCTGTTCCCAATTGTGCTGGGGTGGAAAATACAGGAATGCAGCTTTCTCCAGTGTTTGGAGGGGGGCTGTATGTGTGTGTAGGGGTGCTCAAAGTCTGTCCCAGGAATCTGGTCTCTTCAGCACTAGATTGGACCCTCAAACTCTTTGCCTTACTATCAAAATGGGCTGCTCCCCAGAGGAGCAGAAAATGGGGGCAGGCTGACCTGCCATGGAAGAGCTGCTTCCCTTTCTCAGTTCTCTCATTTGATCTGTGTATATCAACTTTCTTATTAATTTTCTGTTTCATTGTGAAACCCCCACTCACCTTCAGAATATCTTCTCAGTGGATCCTTTCTGAGCTTCTCCTACATGATTCTTTCTGTCATTAGTCATGTTGAATTTCTTACATTGTATTGTTTTTTAAAGGTCCATTCTACCACTCAATGCCTTTTGTTTGGCAGATTTAATCCATTTACATCCAAGATAATTATTGAAATTTAAGGAATTACTACTGCCATTTCATGAATTGCTAACGTTGTGTTTATTGGCCAGGTTTCTTAATGTGAAAGGATTTGCAACAAGATGCATTGAGATTTCTAATGTGTTGATAAGGTGAAAATATCTTCTTCATTTTATGACAGCAAGGAAGCATCATTGGAATTTGCATGGATGCATAGGGTGAAGTTGATATTCCCATATGTCCAGTTTCGGTTAGGAGGCAGCTATGGGAATGGTAGCACTCTTTGCCTAACTCAGTAATCAGTACAGAGTTAAAAAGAGAATAAGTTGTTACCCCTATTATGGAAAAGCCATTAAAAAAACAGGAAGAGAAAGACAATTGCTACAAAAATTATGACATAAAAAAGAGAACTGAACATTCTCTGGCAAAGTGGCAAAGTAGCAAGTTTTACTGGGTTAGCTGTGTCTAGAAATAGAAAAAGGTATGTCATGGTTTTGCTAGATATTGAAGGAAAAGGATCTTTTGCCTTTGTCAAGGAATGAGGAATGGGTAACAAACGGATTTCCAGGGAGGTAGCTGGGGGCACCCTGGCACATTTAGGGATCACAAATTAGGAGAAAGAGTGTAGGTACAGATGAATTTAAGAAGAAAAGCAAGCAAAATCATTGTGGCCATTTCAGATAGGCCATTCATGAGCATCTGATTAATTGGAGAACACTCAAGAGTAACAGTTACCTTGGAGTAGAACACGGAATGTTACTAATAGGTTTCCTTTTATGGTGTTTCCCTCAACCTCAGTGGAGAAAAATGAAAAGGTCCTAGAAGGATAAAGTGACTGTCTTTAAAATGACAGAATGCCTGAAATGACAAAACTACTCAGAGCATGCAATGAGAGCATGTGTGAGTAGTATTTAGGAAGCTTTACCTGCAGGATTCAATGACCATTGGATGAGAGAGGAAAGAAGACGTAAGACCATCACTGGCTCATTGAACAGATATTTCCTAGGAGTCTACTATGGCCAGAAGATAAAAATAAAACAACTATCTAGAGAAGTGGCACCCTACTCCCATGGAGAATTTGTGCCTCTAACACATTGGATGGCTAAGAGGACTGAGTAGGTGACCTGCCCTGTGCTGTCATTAAAACCACACAAGTGAATGGCAATGAGTTCTAGAGTGAGTATAATGACTTGGAATGCTTGTAGTTTGTCAAAACAACAAAGCCACAGAAGTACTTGGGTTCAAAGGCCTGGGGCTCAGAGGAAGGCCCCCAGGGTGATACACATGAGAAAGCTCAGATTAAGAGCAGTTTCCATCATAGTGTAAGACTGAGAGCTTTACCAAATGCTCTGAGGAGCTGACTGTAGCAAAGAACACCCAGGAAGGTACGCACCGGACAAGTTGGAAAGTAAAACAGACCTTTATTAGTCTGGCCAGATGGCATTCCCAAAGCAAAGTAGCTTAGAGAGGCAACTGGCTCAGAGTCCAAGGCTGTTTTTATAGGGGGTTGCAGGGGAAGTTAGCAAGCAAAACTTACAGAAAAGAGAAAAAAATGTCGATGGTCAGAAGATGTTTGCAGATTGTTCTATAGATAGCTGTGTCTGGAACGTTGGTTTCAGACAAACAAGGAGTTGGGTAATTCACTTAGGAACTCTATGTTTGTTACAGATTTTATCTAGTGTCCCAGAACTAACAAGCACATTTTAACCATTAACTCACAATTAGTCACTATGTTGGGGCTGGGGGAGCTTTTATGATTACAGAGTTATGCGGTCCCACAACAGGAGTAATGATGTCACAACAAGTAGGCAATAAAAAAGAAGTGGAAAGACCTGCTGTGAGAATCATATATACTGAGGGAGAGGAGGTGGGAAACAGATCTCCCACTCTAAATGGCAAAGAAGGAGCAATGACTGTGGAGCCAGGAACCAAGCCTGCAAGGGAAGCTATAAGAAGCATATCAGAGTGATCATATGCTACAAGATGAGGGACATAGATATGTCTCCATGCCACCTTTCCAGAGTGCAGTAATGATGGGTGAGAGAGAAATAAAGACTAGGCAGATCTTGATTGAGGGATGCTTCACTTGGTTTACATGTGTGGAATATTAAAAAAGGAGTAAGTGCTCTTCAGAACACAAATTACGAATGAAAGTTTTGAGGATGGAAAATGAAAAGTAAATGAAGGACATGTGGTTTCCAGAAGGGTGCTAGGTAGACCTTTTGCTACAAGAGGCTCCCATGAAGGAAATAAGTTCTCTCTTTCCCTTTCCCACAGGAGGAGGAGTTTTAAGATTAATACTTGTGGAAAGCTGAGTCTGAAATGTGAGACCTGTAACCGCTTCTCAGAGACCTACAAACAAGAGTGAGTGTGACCTGGGCCTGCTTCATTTTGATGGCGAGCCCCAATCAGACAATGGTGACTGAATTTGTCCTGGAGGGGTTCTCAGAGCACCCTCAATTGCGATTACTCCTGCTTGTTTCTTTCCTGTGCCTCTATACTGTTGCACTCACAGGTAATGCTGTGATCATTGTTTTGATCAGCTTCACCAATGGCCTTCATAGTCCCATGTACTTTTTTCTGTGCAATCTGGCCAGCATGGATATTATCTGCACCTCCTCTGTGCTGCCCAAGGTGCTAATTGGCCTAGCATCTGCAGAAAATACCATCTCCTTCCAAGGATGCATGGCCCAGGTCTTCTTCCTCATCTGGTCTCTATCATCTGAGCTGCTCCTGCTCACAGTCATGGCCTATGACCGCTACATGGCCATCTGCTTTCCTCTGCACTACAGCTCTAGGATGAGCCCTCGCCTGTGTGGAGCCCTGGCCATGGGTGTGTGGGGCATCTGTGCCCTGAATGCTTCTGTCAACACTTGTCTGATGACACAGTTGTCATTCTGTGGCCCCAGGGTCATCACCCATTTTTTCTGTGAGATCCCCCATCTTCTGCTGCTGTCTTGCAGCCCCACGCGAGTGAACAGCATCATGACACTCCTGGCTGATGCCTTCTATGGATGCCTTAACTTCCTGCTCACCCTGCTGTCCTATGGTTGCATCATCTCCAGCATCTTGCGCATGCGCTCAGCTGAAGGGAGGCGGAAGGCCTTCTCCACCTGCTCCTCTCACCTCCTTGTCGTCTTGATGTTCTACTCATCTGTGTTCTGTGCCTACATCAGCCCTGCCTCCAGTTATAGCCCAGAGAAAAGCAAACTGTCTGGAGTGCTGTACTCAGCCCTGAGCCCTGCCCTGAATCCCCTCATCTACACTTTGAGGAACCAGGAGGTGAAGCATTCTCTGGGGAGACTCTTGCCCTTCTCCAGACATCAGGTGTAGCTGTGCAAGCTGTTGTGCCACCAGCTATCCTCCCATGCCTGACCTCCTGATAGAAGACTTGCAGAGATGAGACCTGATTGTCACTGTTTTAGCAAAATTACCCTTGGAGATGGAAGCTGAATGCTTAGTTTAGCCTCTCCTGTGTTAGTCATTTCATTTGGGCTATGTGGATCTTGTGCCTCTGATAAATTTTGGATCCACAGAAGAAGCAGCATAGGTCCTGAAAAATGCTTTTCTTCCATCCAGAGAAACATAAGGCTGTCATCTCTGTGAGTCTAAGGAACCTGGCTGTTTTTGACCCTGCTCTTGCTTAGTTGTTACTGCACCCTGCCCTGGAGCCAAACTCCAGGTTAAAATAAGGCCCTGATAGCATCTGTGTCTTGCTATCCCAAATCCAAATATTTCCTGATAATGACCCTTTTATGTAAATCCAGAGTTCCCTCCCTCAATAAATACATAGTCATGCCCCATTTTTCCAAGCTTTTATCATGCCTCTCTTGCAAATGCTTGCTTCCTTCATCCTGTAGCCAGAAATGGCCCCTTACCTTGCCTCCTGAAGCTCTATCTGAACCTCCTACCAAATCTACCTGGATTTTGTTCAGCCTGTAACCTTTCTAGCTGGATCTCTCACTATCTCTCCCTACTTCTAACTTAATCTGAAAATTCTCAACATGATTTATTTCTGACCATATTTTAATTCCCATAATACTGTCTTCTTCTTGTGTTGTCTCTTTAATCAATAGCTTTTCCCACTCACTGCCTCTTGTCCCTCCACTCAATCATGTTAAACAGTGTGTAAGAGCCATTACCATTCTTTTCACAGTATTCCTTGAGTGACTCTGCAAAAGGCTTTATGTACAGAATCTATCAGTTGATGAGGCAGAGGTATAATGATAACTTGGAGTCTCATAATTCTAAATGTTTGGATAGGGTCAGAGTCACTACTCTTTGGGAACTCTTTGTCATCATAGGGCTTCATTTTGCTTTCATACCCTTCTACTTCTCCTTTTGTGGGAACTTTATATCTAATTTTCATTTGTCATGGTTAACAACCAATCCACTGTCATCATCATCCTGGAATCCTTGTTCAAAATTTCAATTAGTCCCTGTCAGCTTCATCTCAGGGGTGCTAGACTTCATGTGAGACCTGTATAACTTGTTCTTCTAGGAATCTCTTTGTAAAATAGCCATCCACCCACCTTTTATGCAGAGACATGCTTAAAGTCCCCTTGTATTAGTGAGTTTTGCATTGTTCTATACAATAATTGAGATAGTGTTATAGCTTGTGTCTAGATATTCCCCCAAAACTTTATGTGGCCATAGGTGAAGCTTTTCAGATGTGGCTGGATCTATTGAATGACATTGGGAATGAGGGTTTAAGATTACTAAATAAGTCCACTGATTGTACTGGCATAATTCTGGGTGTGGATAATGGGAAGGCCCACCCTGTGTGAGTGATACCCATCCTAAGGTCATGTAGCCTGGATAAACTGTAAGGGAAAGAAAGAGAGCTACTGTCACTGATTGCTGGTTTGCTACTTCTCTGCTTGCTGCCTTGCTGCCTTCTGCCTTCTCCCTGCCCCAAAATGTTTCTCCTCAGCCATACCACCCTGGCTTGGAACCAGCCAACTATGAACTGAAACCTCTATAAACTGTGAGGTACAATAAACCCTTCCTCCTTTAACTGTGGGTGTCATGTATTTTGTTTCAGCAATGAGAAAACTAACCAAGACAGATAGTTATTTTTATAAAGTTAAAGTTTTACTTAACTCACATTTGGAAATTCAGAAACACAGGGCCTAAACTGGCTCAGTCCTGGTGAGAACCCCATAGATAAGGACAGGTAGATGGGAATGGTGAAGTACATGTCAGGGTAGGCGGTCACATTTTAAGCCAAAAAGAAAAGAGAAGGGCGGGTGGGCCCACCCTTAAGCTTTTATAAAGATTCTCCTTTAAGAATTCTCAAGGAGTCCCCTGAGAAATACCTTCTAAGCACATACTCCCAACGACTTCCACTACAAAGTCCTCTCCTAAAACCTTCCGCCATCTCCCAATAGCACCACCCTGGGGACTAAGCCTTCAATCAAAATGGACTCTTGGAGGGCATCTAAACCACACTCAATCATGGTACCTCTCATTTCTATAATGACAAACTTGTCCTCTGGGCACCACATAAAATGTCATAAATGCCCACATTTAAATTTGCATCCCCCTTAGTCACCTGCACAAGGCCTTGTCTCCCGATGTACTTACTTCTTCATGATCCACTTACAATGTTCATTACATACCTTCATAGTTTAAAATATATCCCTCTGAACCTATACTAAATGTCTACTATCTGCTATTGTGAATATGCTCTCACTTTAGAGATAGGGTCATTACAGATATAACTAGTTAAGATGAAGTTGTTTAAGTGGGCCCAAGGTCATCACTTACTTCTGTAAGAAGTCATAACCAATATGACTGTTGTCCTTATGAGAGACACAGACACACAGCCATACAGAAAGGATGCTATGTGAAGTCATATAGGACTCTGGAGTGATGTGTCTACCAGCTGAGGAATGCCAGAATTGAGAGCTAACAATAGGACCTGGAAGAGACAACAAAGGATTACCTCCTAAAGGTTTCCGAGTGTGCAAGGCCATGATTACATGTTGATATTCTGGCTCCCAGAACTATGAAAAAAGAAAACATCTGTGGTTGAAAACTATCCAGTCTCTAGTACTATGAGAGAGCATCACTGAGAAATATTCAATTAAAAATTATTCAATGATTTATGTTAAAATATGGTACAATGGAGAGGCCTCTCCAGATACCATCTGTAAGTGTGTGCAGACCCCAGATAGAAGACCTGAGTGGACAACAGTAGCACAAGTGCACAGGTCCCAGCCAGGGCCCTGCCCAGACACCAGCAACTCAGGTGCACAGCTCACAGCCAAAGGCCCTCCCAGAAAACAGCTACATGGTGGGCAGGCCCCAGCCAGAGACATGTCCACATACCATTCTAAGTGTGTGCAGGCACTGGCCAGAACCCTGCCCAGAAAATAATAGCACAGTGCAGGAATCAAAAAAGCCACCATTCTGAACTCAAGAATTTTCTAAGTGGTGGCCAGCAGACAGAAGGCCTCTTTGAGGCTTGCTGAGAGTTGAAGCCCACTGAGTGAGGAAAAAGTTGCCTCAACAAAGGTGTACCAAGCTGGATCTGTTGAAATCAGAAGACATGTACACAAGACTCAAAACCAGACCTTGAGATCACCTAAGACAACCCCAAGGGGCAATGAGGTGAGCAATCTGATACTCAACCACCTGGAGTGCCTGAACTGGCACAGAAAGAATATCTGGAAAAAATGAAATCAGAAATAATTTCTCAGATAACAACAGAGATTGTGTCCATAATAAAAGACATGATTAACAACTCTAGAGCAGATACAGATTAAAAAAATAGAGGAGCTAAGGAACATGATGGAATCCCAACATATGAAACAAGTGGAATCCATAATACAGATGCAAACAGATTTCCAAGAGATTTAAAAACTGCATTAAAAGTTTACATTAGCAGAATGAGCCAATGTGAGGACAGAAATTCAGATATAGAAAACAAGGTTGCAATTAATGACCAGAAAAAGAAAAATTTCTTAAAAATAGTAAGGGGCCATGAGAAATCAATCCAGCAGCTGCTAGATGATGCAAAGAAGAATAACATAAGACTGATC